CCCCGCTGGAGATTCTCCCACCAGTGCGGCTCCAGGGCCCCGGGGCGGCGGGGGGGGGCAGTAGGGTCGCTGTGGCCACGCCAGCGCTCTCCGGGTCACAGCCTTCTCTTGGGCGGTGGCTTCATGGGCCCAACGTGCTGTGTGGTTTTGTCTTTTTAGCTTTAATCTATTGGGGTGTGACGCATACAAGCTCCTGGACACACGAGGACACCTGGGGAACGGCCCCAGGCTGGGACCACTGCAGGGTCAGGTGAACAGAGAGGCACAGCTCGGGCTGGTGGCTCAGGGCGTCGGGTGTCACCGCGCCGGAGCTAGGGGTCGCGGGTTCGATCCCGGTCCTCGCACAGGCCCGTGGCGCGGCCGCCCTGTGCAGGCGCACGGCCCCTGGTTGGGGCTGGCAGGAGAGACACCTGACCTGGGCTTGTCTCCCTCACTTCCTCCGTCACTTCTCCTCTCTCTAAAAGCCAATAAATAAAATTCTTTTTTTAACTGGTATGTAAATTAACCCATTCATTATTGGCTAGCAATGTTTCAAATTGTGGCGCTTCTACTGGTCCTTCAGTTCCTTCGGTCTTCCGACGGCGCACCTGACCGTGACACAGCAGCGGTGCGGGAGGTCCAGGCGCCAGCGGCAACCGTCTTCATGCAGGAGCCACGGGCCAGATCCCTGCCGCCGGCCTCTTCGCCTTGGTTTTGCCGAGAAGGAGCACGAGTGCTTGGCCTGCTGGCTGATCTCAGTTTTCATCACCATTTTCCTGAGGGAGGAGCCATAACGGGTGCCGTATTTACCGAGGATTCCGACTTTTTTGGTGTGTTTAGCCATTTGGCTGCAAAGGCTGTCGGACCCCAAGAGCCAAATACATAAAATTCGTGAGGAGGAGCTCAAACACCGGAGCAGGAGGCGGAGGGAGCTGTTGGGCAGCACCGGGAGACCTCTGCTCGGGGGCGGGCGGCGCTTCGCTCGGTGCCCCGGCAGCCCTGTGGGACCAAGGGGTGTGGCGGGGACCCCGAAGGGAACGTGCGCGCAGGGGGGCTGTCGGGCTGGACGTGCACAGGGGCGTCGTCCAGAGGGCGCAGCCGTCCGGGAACACCCAGACCCGGACCTCTTCGTGGGGGTCGGAACATGAGCAGCGACAGGCGTCGTCCCCCTCCTCCAAGGAGTCCCCTCCCCCTGGTGGGACCGAAGCCTCCTCGCCCGCCGGCTGTCCCGTGGCGGCCGCGCAGCCCCACGTCCCGAGACGCCGAAGACGCAGAGGGTGGTGAGCACGCCCGGCTCACGGACCCGGGGCCGCCGTGGTCGTTGCTGCCCTCTGCCCGCCCCTGCTGGATGTGGGCCAAAGGGAAGGTCGCGAGCCGAGGCCCGGGAGGGCGTCTGGTTCTGGACGGCGTTGGTGAAGGACGAGGGGAAGTGAGGGGAGCCCTCACCCCTGTGCGTGAGGCCCCAGATGCAGGACCTGGGGGTGTGGCCTCTTCCATGGGCCTGGCGCTGCTGCTGGGGTCTCACCCAGAGCCGAAGGGACAACTCTGGGCTCAGCACACAGGAGACACTTAACCCCAGGCCGCACGCAAGGTAGTGAGCTCCCCGGCACCAGAGCAGGGAGGAGCCTCGAATAGCCAAGTCCCACATTTGCAAGAGTGACAGGGCAGAGACTGAGACACAGACGCGGGCGCTCGGGATGCCCAGCCCCCTGCGCCCTGTCCCCGGACGCACGTCCGGAGCAGCCTGCCTGCGGAGAGTCTCGGCACAGGCACTGCCCTGTTCGGCCGGGGGCCTGCCACCCCCGGCTGTGTGACCTTCCGAGCCCCCGGAAGCAGCTCTCCACCAAGGATGGGGGGCGTTGGTGGGCAAACACTCGGCCGCCCCAGCTCTGCGGAGGCGTCTCTCGGCCGGCGCCGTGCAGGGTCCCCAGCTCCGTGGGATTCGGCGGATGCTGTCCACTCGGCTCTCCGCTGGACGACGGGCTCTCCCCAGGTGCATCCCAAACCCACCGCCTGCTCTTGAACCCCTGCCTCGGGAGAGACAGCAAGTTACGTCACTTCTCGGGTCTCAGCCCCTCTGGAAGGGAGAGTTCAGAGTTCACAGGACATGCTCACGAGGAACGATACCTGAGTATCTCTGTGTAATAAAAACAGGGAGATAAAGAACCTGCATTCATTCACACAAAACTCCCTCCGCTCAGCAAACACTAACACCAGGGCAAACACGCTCTCTGCAGCACGAACCAGTGTCGCCCCCCCCAGGGCTGGGCCAGCGTCCAGGCTCAGCACGCCCCTGTCGGGGTCTGCCACGCCCGCTCGGCTGGGTCACAGGAGGTGAGCAGGCCCCTCCGGTCTCTCCAGGGCTGCTCGCAATGCTGTGCGTGGGGCACAGACGGCCACCAAGGTAACTGGGCAAGTTTATTCCAGGGACCCCATGCTTCACAGGAGCCCCCCATCTTACAGAGCTGATGGCACTCGTCACCACGTGACAGCCACCATTTCTCATGTCACCCCCCCCAGTGGACTACCCCGAGGTCCTGCCTCGTGCCAACCTCCTGAGACTCTGTTGACTGATGGGCACCTCTGGGCAAATGCCCACCCTTCCAGAAACTCCACTCCCCATCAGTTTCCCAGGCCTCACCAGGCATTCCTGTTGACTTGCTAACTTTGAGGCTCAGCATCCAATCTGGCAGCTGGTCCCAGGACTGGGCAGGGCACGGGCAGCTGAGTGACTAGGTGGACAAAATATGCCTTGGGCAAACGTGACAGGGACCGCTAGCTGCACAGCTGTGGACCAGTGAAGTGGCCCCTGGCTCATTCACAAACCAAGGCGCCCAGGGACCGCCCCATCGCTGTAGGGGCCTGCTGTGGGCACGACAGCCCAGTGCTCCCCACGCCCAGGGGGCGTGCTGAGCCTGGGTCAGTGTTGGGAGCAGAGGGCCCAGCCTCTGGAGTACCAGGACTCACCGCATCTTTTGGAAACCTGCCAGCCTGGATGCCCTCCAGGGCGAGGCATTTTGCAGACATGGTTGGGGCCCAGTCCCCACCTGCAGACCTCAGCAACGAGAGGTCACACATCTAGGAAGCACTCACGCAGGTGGGCCCTGTGGAGAGTATGGCACCACTTGAGGCCTGGCTTAAGCATTGCTGGGGGTGGGCTGGAGGAATAGTGAGACACCAAAGGGTGCCAGGGAAGGCAGGGGACTGGGTCCCTGGGGGCACGGGTCACGGACCTGTCTCCATCCACAATGGCAACCACAGTAGGTGCCGGTCACGTGGGCCTCACCACACTTCTCCTGGCCATGACACTGCTTCCAGTGTCCATATGGGTGGCAAGTGACAGATAGGCCACTTTAGTGACCAGGTCGTCCCTGAGGGGGTCTGCGGCCTGCTCCAGGGAGAGAAGGGGCTTTCCGCTTTCTCCTTCCCCTCTGTCACTGGCTCCAGATGGGCCCCTCTGGGGAGCCTCTGGGGAGGAATGAGTTCTGAGGGCTGTGAGGTGGCTGTGTGTCCAGGACAAAGGGAAACAGGGATGGTGGCAGGGTGTCAGGGCAGCCAGAAAAGAGGATCCAGAAGAGCCCGTAGCCCCCTCCCCACTGCTGACCTCAATCCCTACTGTCCCTGTGAGGAGGACACCACTGGCAAGCAGGCCGAAGGCCTTGTGGTCAGCCCCTGGTGAGGGCTGCTGGGCAGGGGGACGGAACCCACAGACTCCTGGGAGCCCAAGGGCCACGGCGGGCCGAGCCTGCCCTGTGCTGGAGAACGCCCCTAGGACCCCCAGTCCTAGGGGCCCCTGCAGGGGCCCTGCTCCCGGGTTTCTGGCTCCAGCTGGAGGGCAGTAGATGGCTCCTAGGACTGGGGGTTGGGGCAGAGGGGATATCAGGGTCCCTTTCCTCCAAGCATTTAACAGACTATGCAACCTAACCCTAAAGCCCAACCCTGTGGAGAGCAGGACCAATAAAATGCCATTGGTCTGGTCAATATAGCACAAAGTATATAAAACAAAGTGGAGTCACTCATGTCAAGAGGGCTGCCAGTCAGCGGTGACACTTTGGTTCAAGAGGGAAACTACCTACGTCACGCCAGACACATCTGGCAAGGAGACACACCACACCTATGGTATCTGCGTACACGGTCAGAGTAGCGGTGACTGCAGACTGCAGAGCGGGACCACCCATAGACAGGCTCCAGGAGAAATTCCGCACTTGCCATCAGGGGTGCCAAGATGTTCACCGAAAAGACCCAAAAAGGTGGAGTCCACCACTGCCAAGGGTATAACTGAGGCAGGCTCCAGACCAGTGAGGAGACAGCCGAGCCCCACACACTGGAGGGCTGCTCCACGACACGTTGGGCTTCCTGGGCATCGGCAGCTGAAAGCTCTGCCCTGCTGGACCGAGGACTTCACCAGACCTGACGCCCACCTGGCTCCGGCCTCCATTGCCCACCGTGCTGTCTCCCCGACCCACAGACTTGAGGCTCGGTTCTTTGTCCCCCACTGATCTCTGTGCGCGCGTGTTCTTAGATGGTTACAGTGTGAGTTAAAACATCAACGTGCGCGGAATGTCTGCTTGAAGGGCACCTGCATTCCGTAACAGCTGAGTGAAGAGCTCAGTTACACCGTGTGACTCTCATCTAGTCCTCGGTGCCGGGCTGCTCGGCAGGAGGCGCACCCAGCAGTTGTCCCGCTGACTTACAGAAAAGACTGTATCGCGGACTACGCGCGCGACACGCCCCTAGCCCTAAACTTTACCCTTCAACCCTAGGCCCTGGTCCTTAGAACCCTCGGTAACCCTCCCCTAGCGTCCGCAAGCCTTCGCTCCGTCCCAGCTCGTCCCGCGCCGCGGACCTCGACCCAGGACCGGAGGAGTGTGCGCGTGAGCACCCGAGCTCATGGAACCGGGCTCCGGGCGCCCCGCGACTCTAAACGCCCACCGCGGGCCGCGCCCCGCCCAGTCACGAGACCCGCGGTGAGCCCGGCCCCCGTCGGGCTGTCCAATCGCTTCTGGCGCTCACGCGCCGGGGCCGACTTCCGCTTCCCGGCCGGCGGCGCGACCGCGGGACGGCGCCGCGCGCCATGGCGGCGGAGCTGGGTTTCGTGGAGGCGGCGCCGGCGTGGCGGCTGCGCAGCGAGCAGTTCCCCAGCAAGGTGGGCGGGCGGCCGGCGTGGCTGGGCGAGGCCGGGCTGCCCGGGCCCCCGGAGCTGGCGTGCGCGCGCTGCGGCCGCCCGCTGGCCTTCCTGCTGCAGCTGTACGCGCCCCTGCCCGGCCGCGCGGACGCCTTCCACCGCGGCCTGTTCCTCTTCTGCTGCCGCGCGCCGCCCTGCTGCGCGGGCCTGCGCGGTGAGCGCGGGGCGGGGCGGGGCGGGGCCCGGCGGCGGGCGGGGGCGGCTTCCGGGCGTCCGCGTCCCCGTGGGTTCCCGCCCCGGCTTTTTTGAAACCGGCGCTCTGGCTGCGTGATCGTGCCCGTTTTCAGGAAGCTGGGTTCCAGTAGCTTTTCCGCGATTTTGTGGTCTGCCATTCTCCTTGTGAACGTAACTTGAGCAAGCTTCAGAGACTTGAAGGCTTTCTTGTTCTTCTCCACTTTCTTTTGGTTTGTTTTCTCTCCTTTCGGAGAATAAGCTCCCGGAAAGCAAAACTGCTCTCTGTAAGAGACGAGTGTCTTGTCTGTCCTGAGTGAAATGTTCATATATTTGAATTGACATATTGTTTATTTAAAATATTGTGTTTTTTTCTCAGTTTTTAGAAATCAGCTACCCCGGAAAAATGACTTTTACTCACATGAGCCACCTGCTGAGGAACCCCCGCCAGAGACGGGAGAACCCGTACGCCTCCAGCTCCCGTCCGGGCCGCGGCTCTGCAGGGTGTGCGGCTGCTTGGGCCCTAAGACCTGCTCCGGATGCCACCGCGCGCACTACTGCAGCAGGGACCACCAGACCCTGGACTGGAGAGCCGGGCACAAGCAGGCCTGTGGACAGGCAGGTGAGCCCCCATTCGCTTGTCTGAATTTCAGCTCAGTTTCGTGCCCTCTCTCCACCCAGATCTCTTACCTCGCGGAGAAAAGTTAAAATGAGCAAAGCTCTAACACTTTCCCCAAGTTTGGTAGCAACACCCGTGTGAGAGAAGAGCCGGGAGGTCTTGGACACTTAGTTTCAACCTGTAACCTGAACCCCTGGCGACTGGTGCATCACTTACTAGGGGAAACCATTGCTATGTGAAGCGAACTTTAGAAGGAGGAGAGTCAGCCGTCTTCAAAACAGAGTCCTCTCTAATAGTGCCAGTGACTTTTTGTGTTTCAGATAATTCGGACAATACAGTTCCAGACCACAACTTCCTTTTTCCTGAATTTGAAATCGTCATAGAAACAGAAGATGAGATTACACCTGAAGTTTTGGAGAGGGAAGATGAGTCGGAGGTTACAGGGAGCATGGGTAAGTTTGAAAACTTGACGTATTAGGCGATTAAACGTGATGCTGGAAACAAAGGGTTCAGTGTAGCAAGAAGAGGCACTAAGAGGAAAGGTCAGCTCACTTCAGAGGCTGCAATATGGAATTCTCAGATATCGCCTCACTTGACAGCATCCTCCCTGTGCCTCCCACCGTGGCGCATGTCAGGTGTGTTCTGGCTCCATGAAGACGCGAGTGAGTGTCCTGCTGGCCACTGGGCAGGACCGCGGGAGATGCTGGGAAATCAGTGAGGTCATCTGGGTCCCAGATCCGCTCCTCAGGTTGAAATGCCAGTGGCAGGGCGCTTCCAAAGTGAGTTTCTTTTTCTTTGCTTAAATTTTAAAAAACTACTTCATTATGTTTTGGGGCAGAGGAGGGAGAAAGAGAGGGGAACATTGATGTGCCTCTCGCACACACCCAGCCAGGGACCTGGCCCGCAACCCAGCCATGAGCCCTCACGGGAATCGAACTGGCGACCTTTCAGTTCACAGGCTGATGCTCCGTCCACGGAGCCACACCAGCCAGGGCCGAGGTGGGTTTCTCTTCCATCTGGCCAGTTTTAGCCACACGACTGGGTCAGCTCTCTAGAGCTGCTCATACTCCAGTGCCTCTGCTGGTCGCACCCCCAAGAGACTGATGGGCAGCCAGCATTTACTTCTGCGCTGTGCACCGAGGGCTTTCGTGCAGGGTCCCGTGAAAACCACAGTAAATCAGCAGCTGCACCCCACTGTGTGTGGCCACGTGACTGACCCCAGTTGTTCAGTTTCACAGCTGGAGTTTGAGCTCATGTCTCGTCGACCATAGAACTCGCACTCTTAACCGCTACCAGGTTAGATTTCAGAGTGGAGTGTCGACTGCAGGACTGTTGTTCGTACTAGAGACGTCAGAAGTGTGCTTCAGTGATTGTCACAAAGACTGACTCCCGCTGGGGACAGCAGTGGTACAGGGACCTGGGCCCCAGGAGCTGAGAGTGCTGAGGAGGGAACTGGCAGGTCCCCAGTAAGAATGATGGGCGACAGGTGGGCCAGCTGGGGTGAGAAGTGTGAGGCCCGAGAGCATCGGAAGAAAGAGTCTAGATGGCTCAAGGGCAGCAGGGATCAGAAGGACTCACCGTTGCTGAGTATCCTGTTGTGAGCTGGGCCCAGGCATCCTGAGCCCAGGACTGGGGTCTGTTGTTTATTTTTTTTTTTTTAAGATTTTATTTATTTATTTTTAGAAAGGGAAGGGAGGGAGAAAGGGAGAGGAACATCAGTGTGTAGCTGCTGGGGGCCGTGGCCTGCAACCCAGGCATGTGCCCTGACCGGGAATCGAACCTGTGATGCCTGGTTCACAGCCCGCGCTCAATCCACTGACCTATGCCAGCCAGGGCTATTTTGTTGTTTGTAAATTGTATTTGTTATTTATGCTCTTACAATTGTCCCAGTTTTTGCCCTTAATCATCCCCCTGCACCTTAGGCAGTCCCTACACCATTGTCCTTAGGTCCTGTGTGTAAGTTCATTATTTTTTCAAGTAAGTTTTCAATTTCTTGCGCTCTCTCTCTTTTCTTCCCGGTACACCTATGATGTGAGTGTTGGAAAACTTGAAGTTGTCCCACAGGCTGCTTACACTATCCTCTGTTTTTTTGTTGTTGTTTTCTTTTTTCTTGTTCTGGCTGGTTGTTTTTTGATGCCTTATGTTCCAAATCATTGATTTGATTCTTGGTTTCATCCACTCTACTGTTACTTCCCTGTAAATTATTCTTTATTTCAGTTCGTGTATCTTTCATTTCTGACTGGATCTTTTGTATGCTCGTGAGGTCCTCACTAAGTTCCTTGAGCATCCTGGTCACCAGTGTTTCGAACTCTGCATCTGATAGATCGCTTATCTCCATTTTGTTTAGCTCTTTTTCTGGAATTGTGATCTGTCCTTTCATTTGGGCTGTGTTTCTTTGTCTCCTCATTTTGGCAGCCTCCCTGTGTTTGTTTCTATGTATTGGGTAGAGCTGCTTTGACTTTGTGTCTTGGTGGCATGGCCTGATGCAGTAGGTGTCCTGTAGGGTCCAGTGGCACAGCCTCCCCTTCACCCAAGCTGGGTCCTTGAGGTGTGGGCTGAGTACACCCTCCTGTTGTACTCGAGCCTTGATTTCTGTTGGCAAGTCCAGGGTCAGCCACCGCCTGCGTTCTGTCCAGGGCAGAACAGCAAAAGCTACAGAGTGATCTGCAGGTGGCTGCTACGTGTGCTGGGCTTGCAGGCACGCCAGAGAGGCCACGTTGTGAACTGAGGCCGCTGCTCCTGTGCCGGGCCTGGGGCACCTGAAGGAGAGGAGCGGGGCTCACTGAAGCCAGATGCCGCTTGTTTGAGAGAATTTAGGGAAATCTGAAGCAGGGGCCAAGACAAGCCATTCACGTGGAAAAGCCACTGGAAACAGCTTGGGTGGGCCTGAAACTTGGGTGGAGCACACAGTGTGGGTCAGGCTGATGGAGTCTCATCTCTGGCCCCTGCCTGCGGGCCTGTGGCTCTGCAGGGGAGGGCTCAGCAAGGGAACGGCAGCCTCCGACAGCACCTCTATCTGGGAAAAGGCTGCCCCTCCCCCCAGGGCAGTTTGGTTCCGCCTTGTGTGTCCCTGATACCTCTCCATCTGCTTCCCCAGCGCTGGAGCTCAGAGGCGGGAGTCCGGGTTAGTCCGTGTGTGTGGGTTCTTCAAGGGGAACTGCTTGGGACTCCAGAAGTTTCTGTCCTCCACAGCCTCGATCCCCGCTGGTTTTTGCAGCCAGAAGTTAGGGAGACTTCTCTTCCTGGCCCTGGAACCCTGGGCTGGGGGGCCTGGTGTGGGGCCAGGGCTCCTTGCTCCTGAGATATCCCTCCTGATTTTCCCCCACACATGGGCGTGGGACCAGCCCCTTCTGCGTCCGCGCCTCTCCTGCCGGTCACGACGTGGCGTCTTCTCTAATTCTGTGGCTGTGGGCCTTCCATCAGCTCAGTTCCGACGGTTCTGAACGATGGTTTTCTGTAGTTCGGCTGCAACTGTGATGTGGTTGTGCGGGGACGCAAGCCGTGTTGACCTGCGCCACCATCGCGACTGGACTTGGGTCTGCCTTTTAAATCTGGAGCTTCACTGAAGCAGCAGCACTCACTGGGAGCCTGCACAGTGACCTGCGGTCCGCGGAGGCCTGGAGACTCAGCTGGCCTCGCAGCACCGGCAGAAGTCCAGCCTGTCTGGTTCCGCGCTTGGCTGGTGGTGTAGCACTGCCCGCCCTCAGCCTGTTTGTTGGAGCCGTCAGGGCGTGGGTGGTGCCTGTCAGCATAACAGTCGTGCTGGTGGTTTTTCAGCTGAAGCACCGGAGGAAGAACTGGATTCCATGGCAAAACACGAATCCACGGAAGATAAGATGTTCCAGAAGTTTAAAACTAAAGTAGCCCTGGAACCGGAACAGGTAAAGTGGAGCACATTGCTTGCCCTTGTGTTCTCATGAGGGGTCATCTCTAGTGCCACCCCCAGAAGCGGCCCTGTCACCGCAGCCACTGGCTGGAGGGCAGGTGTCTGCTGGGCCGCTCCTGTCCCGGGTGCTGGACGAGTGGCCGTCAGGCCGTGTGCCACGCAGGGTTTGTTTTCTGAGGACAGTGTCACGTGGGGGTGTCAGGTGCGACACGTGGTTTAGGCACAGAAAACAGAAGGGAAAGATGCTCCTCCCGGTTTCCTAGCAGGGTCCTTTGGCTCGTGAAAGCAGCACAAGATGTCAACACTGAGACACTGGTTTTATGGAAAGAGCCCTGGATCCCGGTGGTGCATTGTGACCTGCTGCTGGGGTCACAGCGACAGTGAGAGGAACTGGGGTGGCTGTGGGCTCCGGGAGATGCTCAGCACGTTTCCCTCGCTCATCCCTGTTGCCCCCCCCGGAACTGCAGTCACGGCAGGAAACTCGGCTGGGTCCACTTAACACACGGGGGTCCCGGAAGAGTGGCTCCGAGTCGGGGGCGCTGACGAGGTGGTCCGGAGCACTGTGAGCTCGCAGCAGAATTCGGGCCCCACTCAGCCGCTGTGTGAGACCTCGTTATAATGTTGACCTAACCCCGCCTTCCATGTGATGTTGGTCCTTTGACAACGTTGGTCTGCGTTCCGTGTGTCTGTGTGACCACAGACGGCTGGCTGCGTTTGAATTCAGAACCTGTTAATAGGCACACAGGTCTATTGTGACTCCGCTCACAAAATAGTCGTAGGTTGAGATTCGAACCCTGTCATCAGCTAAGAAATGTACCTTCTCTGCCCTGCATTACATAAGCCGCAGTGCCGGCTCTGGTGGCGTGGAGAAGGTGTTCACTTTGACGAGGGGCTGGGTGCAGCAGGGGAGAGCACCCCGCCTTTCAGGGGAGTGCCCATCAAGTGTGGGAGCAAATGGGGCATCCCAGGTGAGCTGTGGGAGGTCGGAACGTGACCCTGACTGATTTTAGGTTCTCAGGTACGGCAGGGGGATCGCCCCCGTCTGGATCTCTGGTGAAAGCATCCCCCGAGAAGAGGATATTCCAGATTGTCCCTGTGGTGCCAAGAGAATATTTGAGTTCCAGGTATGACCTTAAACAGGGGCTGTTTTACTCCGTTTACACCGCTTTACGGTTTTAACATGGCAGACCTTGTCCAGAGTCACCTGTGCGTGGGGCCTGTCTGCTGTTGTGGAGGTTGTCTTACTGTGAAATTCCTCGTTTTCCTGCCCCGCTCAGGGCTTAAAATCAGTCTTTTACTGCTTTATCTGGTAATTATTTCCATCCCTAAATGATACAGTGTTTCCGATATTTGTCAGTGTGCTGGTTTTCAGACGTGGACACACCGGCTGCCTCCACAGCAGCGAGGTTCCCGTGGGCTGCCCTTCCCAGCCCTCCGACCCGCCCACCTCCAGTGCAGGCCCAGAGCCATTTTTAGTGCATCTGCTGGGGGCTCAGTGGTTTCCGAGAGTGCACCTCCTTCCATCAGTCAGGGTCTACTTCTGTGCTTTGGGAGAGAAGTGTTTTGGAACTCTATTTAGTCTTGTTTGGGGATTCATTAAAACACAT